AAAATGCATATTTGATAAAATGCTATTGGGTAAAGATTTAACCAGGGTGCAATTTGGACTCTAGTGAAAAAGTTATAAAGTCCCGTCTCGAAAAGCGAAACAGAATGTTTTTGCTAGCATTCATAAAAAAGGTGCATTAGTGTTTGAATCAATACCATGCCATGTTTGGTTATTCGACACATCGCATTTGACAGAAAAAATTTTTTTGGATGAATTTTTTCATCGATCATCACATGATTTTAGTGGAGTAGGTTTAGTATTATAACCAAATATGTATAACGAAACGCAATTCATCGATTGTACTTGTTCGGATCTCGCCTAAAAATCATGAGAAATTTTTTTTTTCGTCCCAAAAAGAAGCTTTGGCAGATGTCATCATCGATCGCATCCACCGTCATATCACACTCCTGGTTGTACACACAAATCAACACATCAGTTCATTAGAAAAAAAATCATTCGCAGAGGCCCCCCTCGAAGTCTTTAATCTTGTCAAAAGCGTTGAATTCCGAAACTCAAAGACATTGATATTCGCGAAATACCTTTTTTTGCATAATTGTACATATTCTACAAAAAAATCATACGTTTTTTTCTGTACGAACTTTATTTTAAAAAAGTCTAATTGTTGCTTGTCAGAGAATTTTACCACTTGTACACCTTAATAATAATAAGAATTGATAAAGGTTGCTTTAGAATTACAAAAATAATTTGAGATCTACCACTATCACGCTACTGCAATAATCAACAAACATGGCAATACCTGCACAAGGTACTGTCAAAACACTGCCTCGTCTTCAAATTATTGACGAAAACCAAGCTTTTACGTATGCTTTTGTTTATCCGATGAATTATGATTAGCAAAACTTTCAAAGAAATAAAAAACAAATCAATTGACCCTTGATTCAATCAAATTCTATTTATCTAGACAAGAGTTGCCCGCTTATATGAAAGATGAATGGAAGCTTGCCGACTGTGGCTTCAATTATAATTTGGTGGCGGTTTTTGGTTCACAGAGTACAGGGAAAAGTGGGTTCGAACGACGATTTGTCTTATAGAGTGATTGGATCGATC